GCAAACAGGCAAAATGCGATGTACGCCTCACAGGAAAGTCGCAGGGCTCTCCCAACACAGGGCCCGACGTCGACACGGATGGAACTCCAGGAGGTGCAGTCAGAAGGCAAGAACTCTTAGTTGTCCAGCGGTCCTTTATGGTATAGTTATAGTAAGGAGCCCCCAAAATTATTTAGGTAATTATTGAGGCCGCTATAATAGTATCCTAGGGCAACAAAAGGGATCCTTTGTTTGGGCAGTGTTGTCTCCAGTGAGAGTCGTGAGACGAGCTTGGCCCCCAAAAAGGTTGAAAGCTACCTCATCTACGACTACTGTAGGAATTGAGAATGCAACAGCTGCTAGGGAAAACGGATTATGCGGAGGTTCCTGAAACCTAGATGTTGAATTTTCACGGCGCAGTAAGGCTGTCATGACTGGCAAGCAAAGGTCAGACACCCTAGATTTGCAACTATCACGACAGGAATGCAAGATCAAGGTTAGCAGGGAGATGTTGTCAGGACTCATCTTACAATCGCTGCGCCCTGGGAACATGCAGCCGAGCTGCAGAAAACAGGTAGACCCAGATCCTCGCGGTGAAGTGGGCAAAAGCGGCTACACACGCAAACAGCAAAGGGGCAGCCTAGCTCGTTTCAGCCTGGAGCCTACTTATTTCTTATGTGCCAACGCTTGGCCGTGAGCCCTCAAGGGTCTGAGAGTCTGCTTCGGTCGACTCTTGCCCGTTCGGGTTTGTGGTTTGGGGTTTCGGCTCTCACACTCGGACAAATGCAGGCGAGGCTTGGGGTTTAGGGTTAAGCATCTTCAGCTGTAAAATATTGCCGGTTTGCTGGTTTCGGCTGTTGCATTTCTACCTTTCCGCCTGCCTGCGCGCTGGACGCTGCAGTGTCGTCGGGTCGACTGTTCCAGGATCCCTCCGCAGAAATTCAGCCGAGTCTCCAGTTCAACGGCGCCAAAGCCGTAGCCAAGCTGGACCAGTCAACTCCTGGCGCTTCTTCAGGGCTGCTTGCCCTTTGCGAGATCGGTGCAGGGTTTAGGGTTAGGGTCTCGAAAACGGTTGAATGCGGGATTTTGTGGGGCATTACAGGACCTATAAAGTGTTATAAAGGATCTCGCAGGAGCTTTTTTGGGTTGAGGGTCTCGGCGCTCACTCTCGGATTATCCGGCGAGGTATCCATAAGTCGCCTGAGCGAAAACAGAAAGAACGATGTGACAAAGTGAACACAACAACTTAGCCCTAAACCCGAGAGATTAAGGTTTGAATCATTGCTAGAAGCTCAATCTGTAACTGCTTATAGTACACGTTGCACAAGTACCCGAGATTAACGGTAAAAAAGCTAGTACTGGATGACTGCAAAATTTTTGCATCTCGGACAGTCACACTCGGGCAAGCTCGACATGCCCAAGCAAGTAACAAAGAGGGGCCTTCAGAATTAGAAGAGGGTTTTGTGATTCCTTCTAGGATAACTAAGCAGAAACTGCAAGGCGATACTATTACTAATTGTTACGGCCTTAGGCTTCTTTCCGTGTATCGCGAGGACAGGGCTTATGGCGTGTCGGGGCCCTTGAACACTTGAAAGGACGCTAAGCTTCTAGGGCTGAGGGCCCTTGAAAAGGTTGAAGTGCTTGTGTGTCGGATGGAAGGCGGGTTTTTGGCCCCCGTTATCGCAAGCCACAGCAAGCACAGCAGGAACGAATGGCAAATTGCGCTTGAGTTTCTTGTAGGCTCTGTGTAGGCTACTGTCTTAAAGAAACCTTAGCGAGAAAGCTTTCAGGTGTGTAGGTCAGTTCCAACCGTCGGTTCCCTTGCAGAACAGCGACAGTCTGATGCAGAGACCTTACTGTATTTGAAGGGCTGTCCAACCAGTACTTCATTTGCGTATCTTTGAGCTCCTCCTGTGATGCTGCGGAAGAGCGTATGCATGGAGAGGTGCCTCGGGAACTGTTAACGTCCGTTTGGGCTTAGCTTAAGGCTTGCAAAGCTTTCAAAATTGGGGCAGCGAAGATCAGCTCAAGACCTAGGGCCCTTTCTGCAAGTTCCAACCATCCTATGGCATATGAAGAATTACACATTCTTCAGGTTCCTCCTTGATGAAGTCGTCTTTCCGCATGACTACAAAAGCCCTAACCCCTGACCCTCTATCTGATCCGAAAAGCCACTGAAGCACGAGGTTCGTGAGGAGGGGGATGTCCAGTAACATCACTAGGTTAGAGCTTGAAAGCATCTGATAAATATTCGTACATCTTACTTAAGCCAAACACCCAAACGAACAAACATATCAAATTTTCATAAGGCCTACCTAGATCATATCACCACGGCGAACTCTGGGGCATGCACAAGGTCCCGAAATGGTTGTAAAGCACGCCGTCGTTGGAGTCATCGGGAATCCTGCTCAAGGGCCAAAGCAAGCACCAGAAACTATGCTGCTGCTAGCAAAAAATACGAAAGACAGCCATTTTGCACGAAAGGGGTCGGGGTCCCAGGGTAAACCTGGTTTTATTCGCGAAATCCGATTCTAATTGGTATTTCTGGCCCCCCAAAGCACCATGTAAAGCAGTCTGAATAGTAGGGCGGTATCTTAAAGTCGGGAAACTGGGCAGTCGAATAACAAAGACAACAAAACATACGGCGAACAAGGAGACAGAAGTTTCGGCTCGGGCAAAGTTTGTGGTTTAGGGCCGTTTAGAGTGTCAGCGTTTACGGTTTAGACCCTTAGCAGTTATCCAGACCCAAACCGAGGAA